CCTTGGGTTTCCCCAGGGAGAAGGTCCAACCCCACCAGCATCAAGATTGAACCCAGGTCCATGGGGAGGGCCACCACCCCCAGAACGAAAAAAAAAAACACCAAAACGCCCCAAAAAAGTCTTAATTCTTATAAAGGGAGGTGCTGACCCACCTGCCCTCGGGGGCCTGGGATCAGCCTCTGTCCCAGGAGGGCTTTTCATGGAACCTTGGCCATCACCATTGACCAAGTCCTGCTGGTCATTCACCAGTTCTGGGTTTCTGAAGGTACTTTATGAGCACAAGTAGGAAAAAAGGTATTTAAACGTGAGGAGCAAATGACCCAGAGCTATTACTGAAGTCATCTCCTACCACAGGGCAGTTTTCCTCAAAAATTTCTGAATTACTAAAAAAAGCCACTGAGAATATTCGCCAAGCTGTGTCCTCACCTTCGTCCTCTGTTTTAAAAAGTTGCGTTGTTTGGCCCGAAATGTTTTTGGGGAGAAAAACCAGCAAATCAAAGCAAACCGTTATCCCAGAGCATTTCTGCCAAAACAGTTAAAATTTGGAAATTTTAAAAGCCGGTGCTTTATTGCTGCGCTCTCAAGGTCAATCACCAACGTGACCATCGATTCCACAAAGCAAAACCCATAGGACCTTGGCAACGGACCATCTCACCTCTCTGCCCCCAGGAGCTTCATCCACCACCGATGGCATCTTGAGGTCCTCAATGAGTCTGATCTACCACTGATGGCATCTTGAGGTCCTCAACGAGCCTGATCCACCACTGTTGCTGTCTTGAAGTCCCCCATGAACCTGATCCACCACCGCTGGCATCTTGAGGTCCTCAATGAGCCTGATCCACCACCCTTGGCATCTTGAAGTCCCCGTGAGGCTGTTGCACCACTATTAGCATCTTGAGGTCCACCTGGCCCCAGCTGTTCATTCAAACAGCTTTGACTCTGCAGGGAGATGGTCCATTCCCACCACTCTGACCAGAGTTTGCTCCAGCCCAACATCAGAGAGAAACAACCCTGGAAGAGATTGGCTGTTGCCACTCCAGGACGGGCAGCAGATTCCACTCCTGAAGGCACAGAAGACAATCTGAAACCCTCTGCTGCACCTCCAGCCCATCCACAACTTCTCCAGGGACTCCGGCACCCGAACTGTTAATGGGCATCTCCGCTGGTTCCTCTCCCGGGGATGCTGACTTGAAGTTCCTCCTGGAACACACCCCCAGCCTGAGCCAGCACCAACTCATCTGCTGTGTAGGAGGTGCCAGACCAGGTGCTTCATGCCCTGGAGATCCCGGATGGATGGAGGACCTTGTGTGGAGCCCACCCTCAGCTCTCCAGCCCACACGTGCCCTTCAGCTCCACCTTCTCACGCTACACTCACCCTCTCACATGTCCCCTCCTCCATATGTGTGTGGGCAGAGACACGGGGGGGAAAAGTATGATTTGGACAATAGGGAGGGCCGGGCTCGGTCAGCGCACCCTCCAGAGAGACATTTGGGGCAGGAAGAGAGAAAAAGGAGGTTGAGAAGCATCAGGTCCCACCCCGGGAGGCAGAGACCACCCCCCCACTCACGGCTTGGGTTGGTCCCGTGTTTAATGGGAACTCACACCAGCAAAATTCATTAAAAAACTGAGAGTAACGTCAAATAACGTGGGTGCCCAACACCGTCCAACTGGCTGGTGGTGACCACAGCTCGTGCAGCCCACACACACACCACCCATGGCCACCACGGCCCAGGGCTTCTCCGTGTCCACCCCAGGACCATCCTGCTGCTCCACCAGGTTGCCCAGAGAAGCTGTGGCTGCCCCATCCCTGGAGGGGTTCAAGGCCAGGTTGGAGGGGGCTTGGAGCAACCTGGTCTGGTGGGAGGTGTCCCTGCCCAGGGCAGGGGGGGGCTTTAAGGTCCCTTCCAACCCAAACCATTCCATGATTTTATGATCAACTGGGATCTTCCACCCCTTTTATTTACCGAGCTCTTCCCATCGCTCTGGTGAGCATCAAGAGGTGGACGCCAGCCAGAGCTTCACCCACCCAGGGAATTTTGCCTCCGTGTGGGGAAAACCCCAAATTATCTTAATGAAACTCTGCAACATCCTTCAGCCAACACCCCCTGATAACACACCGGGAAACGCGGCCGTTACACACCTGCTGGCCAACCCTGCCCCGGGCTTTAGGAGAAAGAAACCCCACTTTCCAAAGCTCTAGGATCCGAAATCCCTGGTAGCAAAAATTTATTTTTCATGACTGAAGACAAGGAGAAATTTATAAACATATTCTAAGCAACCGACCAATAAAACAGTAAATATTCCAATTCCTGTGAACTTTACACGCCGTCACCCGGCAGCGGAACATCCAAGCTGGTGGTGCCACGTGCCACCACCACAACCAAGGAGCAGGAGACCAGGAGCACGTGGTCACCTGTCCCTGCTCCTCCCCAACCCCACCTCCGCCAGGGAAGTCCCTTTGCGAAGCTCCGCAGTGGATCCGAAGACATCCTCCCAGTGACTAGTGTCCAACGTTAAAAGGAGAAAAAATAAAGCAGCACACACTCATTTCAAAGCCCAACAAAGACACCGACATTTGTTAGATGCTCCTAAAAAATAAGTAGTTCCAATTCATTTTTTCTCCCCCCGAAAAGCCCCGCGGCGCCCCGGCCGAGGCTCAGCGCATCAGCAGGCTGTGCTTTGGTCCGTCCACTCTCTCCAGCTTCTCAAAGTGCTTTCTGGCATTGCGGATGTTGATCAGCGTCGCCGCAGAAGCTGGGACGGGGAAAAAAAGGGACCCGGGAGATAAAAAAACAAACAAATAAATAAAATTACAAGGGATGCGAGTAACCGAGTCCTCAGGAGTTAAAGCGCCGCCTAAAAGCAACCTCCCCCTGTCAGCAAGCTCTCTAATTTCACACACACTCCCCCCCTCTGCTCCCCAGCTGGGCAAAATTTAACACTGGGAGGGCTGGGATGTTTGTGGATCATCCAGGAAGGGTCGGAGAGAGCCAGGGACAAGCAGTTTGCTCCCAGGGAGAGCTTCCCGAGTCACCCCGGCCACTCATCCGCTGCTCCCGGAGCAGGATCATATCACAGCTGCTCATTCAGCCACGGGGTTTACAGAGGTTTGCCCTAATTCAGTAAAATTCCCAAAAGGAGGAGGAGGAGGAGGAGGAAGCACCGAGGCCGTGAGCCCCGAGGCTGTCCCGGGCAGTGTCTCTGAACCAAGTGCCTCAAATCCCCAGAGGAGCAGCTTCAGTTGTGGAAACAGTTAAACAGTCACACGGCCGCTGCCTGCAGCGGCTTCTTTAAGATAAATAGATGCTTCTATAATTAGAGCCTTTGCCCACCGAGACAGTCCAGGCAGCAGGAGCAAAAAAAAAAAAAAAAAAAAAAAAAAAAAAAAAAAAAAACACCAAAACCAAACAACAACTCAGCTACGATCCATCTCTGCTTCCTCTTGGGAAAAAAAAAATAAAAATAATAATAAAATAATAATAAAAAAGAAAAATCACCGGGGCTGCCAGATCAGCCCAGCCCAAAATAGGTTATTAGAGACGACCTGCTAAACCAGGTCACATCTGGGAGAGCAGTTCCCCACCGCTGCCACCACCCTCCACCCAGCAGCCACCACCAGCTCCGCTCTCGCCTCCCAAAAAGTCACTTTTTAAACCTTATTCTCCCTCCCTCTGCCCAGACGGGGCAAACCAGCAGGATGTCAGATCCCCTTCTAGCTTTTCATCGTCATCATTTTTATCACTTTGGCATTTTCTAAGAGAAAACGTGGTTTATACAAGACTTTATCCAGCTTTTTTGTTGTTTTTTTTTTGTCCCCACAAAGAAAGCCAGGCCAGAGGTTTATCTCGGCTTCGACTTACGTATGGAAGGGTCTGACATAACCACCATCACGTATGTGTTTGATGTGAAGATGTCAATGAAAGCAGCAAAGTTAGAGTTCCTGACCTCCATGCTCTGGAAAGAAGCCGCCAGCTTACTGTGAGGAGAGGGGAAGAAAAGGAAAGAAGAAGAAAAAAAACAAAAGGAGTAAATGGAGTATTGTTATATATAAGTTACTCAAACAGCTTCTGTGCCCACAAAAGGCAACATCCCATTATCTGAGTTGTTGGTGACAAAAGAAGTGTTTGAGTCCCCCACTTGGCAAACGCCACCAGGTGCCACCACAAGTTGGTTGTTTGGGTTTTGTGGGGTTTTTTTTTAAAGAAAAAAAAAAACACCTTTTTAGCTTTAGGCTAAATGAGAACAACATAAACCCATCAGCACATCAAAGGGTGACAGAAACTCCAGACACACAACCCACTGACTGTCAGAGCCTGTGCCCAGTCGGTGTCACTTGTCCCACAGGTGGAACAGCCCGGCCACTCAGGAGAGTGGTTACTTGTGGATAACCAGGAGAAATGAGTATAAACCCAAAATATCTGGAGTCGGCTCTCTCAACCAGGCAGCCACATCTCCATCCTGCCCAGGACTCACAGGTACCACCAAGAGGCTGCAGACCCTGGAGCCCGTTCAAAAGCCGAGCGCCTCCAAAGCCAGCTTCCCACTTCTCCATGGGAAATATTGATAAATAGTGTCACAGAACTGCCAGGGTTGGAAGGGACCTCTGGAGATCATCCAGTCCAACCCCCTGCCAGAGCAGGTCCACCCAGAGCAGATCCCACAGGAACGTGACCAAGTGGCTTTGAATGTCTCCAGAGAAGGAGACTCCACCACCTCCCTGGGCAGCCTCTGCCAGGGCTCTGCCACCCTCACCCCAAACAAGTTCTTCCTCAGATTTGAGTAGAACTTCCCCATGGTCCAGCTTGTGCCCGTTGCCCCTCGTCCTGTCACTGGGAACCACTGAAAAGAGTGGGGGAACCACTCCATCCTCCTCCAACCCACCCTTTAGATCCTTGTCAGCATGAATAAGGTCTCCCCTCAGCCTTCTCTTCTCCAGGCTAAAGAGCCCCAGCTCTCTCAGCCTTTCCTCCTCAGGGAGATGCTCCAATTCCTCCATCATCTTGGTTGCCCTACGCTGGACTCTCTCCAGCAGTTCCCTGTCCCTCTTGAACTGAGGAGCCCAGAACTGGGTGCAGGATTCCAGTTGTGGCCTCCCCAGTGCAGAGCAGAGGGGGTGTCTGCAAACCTCCTCCTCCTTCCTCTCACTAATTTATCAGCTCAGTCCTGGAGCTTCCCTGCCTTGCCCAGGAGAATGAGGCCCAGGAGAAAAAGGCTGCTTCAAAACAAACCATCAGCAAAGGAAGGAGTTACAAAATATAACAATTAACTCGGTTGTGTTTAAACATGGAGCAGTTTAACTTGGGCAGCTCAGCTGCCCGAGGAGTCGGGGAAACGAGTATGAAAGTGGAGAGTCCTCCTGCTGCTGGATGGAGCCAAAATACCTGTGGGGGCATCTCCCCTACCCAAAAATTAAACCAACTCACCTGCAACTTAGCTTGAATTGTTTAATAATGTTGCTGATTTTCTCAAATCTGTGGACGTCCCGCTGTTCTTTGCATTGATAGTGAGAAATGACCTGGAAGGTGGAAAAAGAGGGCAGAGGGAGTCAGGAACTGATTTCAGCACAGGTTTCTCAGGTTCAACAGCAATGGCGACCGGGACAGGGATTCCCTTTGCCTTTTGCTGATTGAATCTCAGAAACTATTTGCAACAACATTTGTGGTGCTTTCAGGGTAAGACAAGGGTAATGCAGTCACCAGGAAGCCTTTCTCAAGGGCAGAGGCAGGTATGTGAGATATGCAAGAGACACTATTGTCCACTTGAGGTCTGAATGCTCCAACTTCACAGCAATTCAATTGGAAGGAAAAGAAAGTGCAAGGAGAGAGGGGGAAAAAATAAATAAAATATAAATAAAAGCAAGAGCATCACCTCAGGTTGGGGAAACTGACACTTGACAAATGCTGGAATGGCTTTTCCTTCCCAAGTCTCTCCTGCTGCAGGTGCTCAAGGACTAAAGGGAGAAATTCCCCACCCTGCAGCAGGCAGGACACTCTGGGAGCGAGCCCTTCCTCCCTACGGAAAGCGGAACCAGCTGGTTTCCAGGGAGCTCTCTCTCCATCAGAGAACTGAGACAGACCCAGAGCGGTTCCCCTCCTCTTCCTCCCACCCAGCAGCAGCCCCCAGACCTCAGCCCCCAGCTGCAAAGATTCCCGGGATCCAAAGCCTTCAGGAGCTCCTGCGGGGTATCCACAGCTCCATCTCCACACGGCTGGAAACCTACAGATCTTTACTCTGCAGCCACATCAGCTAACGGGCCAGAACTGGATTTACTGGGGAAATGGCACACACAACCTAATACTTACATCACCTTTTTCCCCACATAAAACAAAAAAGGATTATTTTAAAAACCTTGTGTTGCCTCCTTTAAGCTCTTAAGAATCATGAAACCAGCTGCTGGAAGCGTCGGACGCCCTTGTGCGAGGATGTGAAACTCTTTTCTACCTATGGAGTCACATTTAACAGACTTGGGAGAACTAAATTTTTTGGGTTCTCTTTTTTTTTTTTCCCACATAAACCCATCAGCACATCAAAGGGTGACAGAAACTCCAGACACACAACCCACTGACTGTCAGAGCCTGTGCCCAGTCGGTGTCACTTGTCCCACAGGTGGAACAGCCCGGCCACTCAGGAGAGTGGTTACTTGTGGATAACCAGGAGAAATGAGTATAAACCCAAAATATCTGGAGTCGGCTCTCTCAACCAGGCAGCCACATCTCCATCCTGCCCAGGACTCACAGGTACCACCAAGAGGCTGCAGACCCTGGAGCCCGTTCAAAAGCCGAGCGCCTCCAAAGCCAGCTTCCCACTTCTCCATGGGAAATATTGATAAATAGTGTCACAGAACTGCCAGGGTTGGAAGGGACCTCTGGAGATCATCCAGTCCAACCCCCTGCCAGAGCAGGTCCACCCAGAGCAGATCCCACAGGAACGTGACCAAGTGGCTTTGAATGTCTCCAGAGAAGGAGACTCCACCACCTCCCTGGGCAGCCTCTGCCAGGGCTCTGCCACCCTCACCCCAAACAAGTTCTTCCTCAGATTTGAGTAGAACTTCCCCATGGTCCAGCTTGTGCCCGTTGCCCCTCGTCCTGTCACTGGGAACCACTGAAAAGAGTGGGGGAACCACTCCATCCTCCTCCAACCCACCCTTTAGATCCTTGTCAGCATGAATAAGGTCTCCCCTCAGCCTTCTCTTCTCCAGGCTAAAGAGCCCCAGCTCTCTCAGCCTTTCCTCCTCAGGGAGATGCTCCAATTCCTCCATCATCTTGGTTGCCCTACGCTGGACTCTCTCCAGCAGTTCCCTGTCCCTCTTGAACTGAGGAGCCCAGAACTGGGTGCAGGATTCCAGTTGTGGCCTCCCCAGTGCAGAGCAGAGGGGGTGTCTGCAAACCTCCTCCTCCTTCCTCTCACTAATTTATCAGCTCAGTCCTGGAGCTTCCCTGCCTTGCCCAGGAGAATGAGGCCCAGGAGAAAAAGGCTGCTTCAAAACAAACCATCAGCAAAGGAAGGAGTTACAAAATATAACAATTAACTCGGTTGTGTTTAAACATGGAGCAGTTTAACTTGGGCAGCTCAGCTGCCCGAGGAGTCGGGGAAACGAGTATGAAAGTGGAGAGTCCTCCTGCTGCTGGATGGAGCCAAAATACCTGTGGGGGCATCTCCCCTACCCAAAAATTAAACCAACTCACCTGCAACTTAGCTTGAATTGTTTAATAATGTTGCTGATTTTCTCAAATCTGTGGACGTCCCGCTGTTCTTTGCATTGATAGTGAGAAATGACCTGGAAGGTGGAAAAAGAGGGCAGAGGGAGTCAGGAACTGATTTCAGCACAGGTTTCTCAGGTTCAACAGCAATGGCGACCGGGACAGGGATTCCCTTTGCCTTTTGCTGATTGAATCTCAGAAACTATTTGCAACAACATTTGTGGTGCTTTCAGGGTAAGACAAGGGTAATGCAGTCACCAGGAAGCCTTTCTCAAGGGCAGAGGCAGGTATGTGAGATATGCAAGAGACACTATTGTCCACTTGAGGTCTGAATGCTCCAACTTCACAGCAATTCAATTGGAAGGAAAAGAAAGTGCAAGGAGAGAGGGGGAAAAAATAAATAAAATATAAATAAAAGCAAGAGCATCACCTCAGGTTGGGGAAACTGACACTTGACAAATGCTGGAATGGCTTTTCCTTCCCAAGTCTCTCCTGCTGCAGGTGCTCAAGGACTAAAGGGAGAAATTCCCCACCCTGCAGCAGGCAGGACACTCTGGGAGCGAGCCCTTCCTCCCTACGGAAAGCGGAACCAGCTGGTTTCCAGGGAGCTCTCTCTCCATCAGAGAACTGAGACAGACCCAGAGCGGTTCCCCTCCTCTTCCTCCCACCCAGCAGCAGCCCCCAGACCTCAGCCCCCAGCTGCAAAGATTCCCGGGATCCAAAGCCTTCAGGAGCTCCTGCGGGGTATCCACAGCTCCATCTCCACACGGCTGGAAACCTACAGATCTTTACTCTGCAGCCACATCAGCTAACGGGCCAGAACTGGATTTACTGGGGAAATGGCACACACAACCTAATACTTACATCACCTTTTTCCCCACATAAAACAAAAAAGGATTATTTTAAAAACCTTGTGTTGCCTCCTTTAAGCTCTTAAGAATCATGAAACCAGCTGCTGGAAGCGTCGGACGCCCTTGTGCGAGGATGTGAAACTCTTTTCTACCTATGGAGTCACATTTAACAGACTTGGGAGAACTAAATTTTTTGGGTTCTCTTTTTTTTTTTTCCCTTGAGCACCTTAAAAAGACCATCAGCATGTGCTTCCTACTTTTTAAACCTGCCCAATTATTCACACACGTAGAGGTTTAGCCAGATTCAGGGATTACACTCATACCAAAGCCTTCATTGTATGCAACTTTGGTCCTTAACTTTCCAGATAGGTTTTTTTTTCTTTTCTGTTACTGTGATTTGAATACAGTTTCAGAGTAAGATTTCACCTCAGGAAAAAGGAGTCCTGGGGGAAGTTTAAATATATGAGTAAAGAGAGAGAGTCCTTTAAACAGTCACCATTACACTGAAAATAAGCAGAGAATTTTTGTAGCAAAGATTGTTCTTTTTCATTAAAAAAAAAAGTATATATATATTTACAACGTTACATATTGCTAAGGTGGAACTATTTATTATCTACAAAAGGTCAAAAAGCAGAACTTGCCAGAAACGGCAGGTCAAAAAAATCCTTCTTTCAGGTCAGGAGGAGTTTTGGTGCAAAGTCTGATGAGACCAATCTAGAAACCAAGAGTATGGACGGACACACAGCACCAACACGTTTTACCTTCAGAGACAACGGGCTGGAAGCAGAGTTACCGTGGAGCTGGTAACTTCAAAAGCCTTTGCAATCCAATCGCTTGTGATCCTCTGTCCATACTCTGGGTTTATAGAGCATCAGAGAAAAAATAGAATAAAAAAATAATATCAAGACCAGTTAAAATGCCAGGTCAGGAGGAACTGAAAAGGCTTATTTGAAGCTAAAGAAGGTTCTTGCCCTGTGCAGGAAGGAATTCTCAAAAAAAAAGTCCCAGAGCTGACAAGAGAATGGGGATATGAAACCCTCTCACAGCTTGGAAGAGGGAAATACCGACCAAAGGCCTCGGTTCAACTGCTAGAAGTGGAAATTTTGGGAAGGTCCCACGTGCCACGAAGTCACATCAGCTATTTTCAGTATCACAAGGCCTGGATCAACACCTTCTGCCACCACCACCTCTCTCTGGGCTACTGCCACCTCTCTCTGGGCACTTTCCATCCCAGAAACTGGGTCCTAGGAACTGGGCAGAGGAACCTGAAGGGCAGAACCGCCGTATTCACCAGGAAAGTGGCTCTCTCGAAGAGCAGCACTTCGTCTGCCTCGATGATCTGAGCAAAGTTCCTCAGGTTCATTTCCAGCTGCTGGACGTTGGGGATCAGCTGATAGACTATACTGGACCAAGCCTGTCAGTAAAGAAAGACACAACACAAGGGCTGCATTAGCGCTTCTTGTTATGAAACACGCTCAAAAACTGATTATTGCAGTGCTGGGTGTTGACAGCCCCAGCGAGGCCAAGAAGCTTCTCCCACCTCCATGTCCAGGTATCTCTACTACAGTGGAGACAACCAGTGGTACCCCAGACCCCACATCAGTCACAAAGAAGCTAGAATATCACTAAACAGGCTTAAATCATCCTAATTTGCTCCCAGTGTAGCCAGAGAGCACTCACTGCTCCTACACCTGGAAGACTCTCACGCTGCAGTCCAGAGTGACAGCAAAAAACCCCATTTCCTCCTGAAACTTAATTCCCAGAAGGGTAAATGCTCATCTTTTATCAGGGCTGCAGAGAAACACGGGAAACAATTCCACGCTGGATAAACATGACTAGAAGATGCAGAAGCTCTTTCTAAAGCAGCCGGGCAAAGTGTTTAAGCAGTGTTAGCACACTGACACCATGACCCCAACGTGTGGAGGACTTTTACTTTTACTAATTAAACCCAGGATGTTCGGATGCCATTTACAGCAGCCAGTCTCCAGCAGGAGCTGCTGCAGAAGTAAAAAGGGCCGGTCACTAACAAACCAGTAGCAATTAACCACTTGCCTCCCTCGTGCTCTTGTTTTCGAGTGGGAGGGAGGAAGCCAGATACAGAGAGGAAGCCGTACGAACCTTGTAAAGTGTTTCATCCCAGATGGAAGTTCTAAAACAAACACATTCCAAGGGACGGGAAAGGCGCTTCAAGTCTTCCTCACGCTCTTTAAAAATCTGGGAAATAATAATAATAATTAAAAAAATTAGCACTTGAGCTAATGTTCTCCGTGGAAGAAGTCTGTCTGTGCAGGGAGATCGGGGCAGTTTCAGCCACCCCATCTCCCATGGCCTCCTCTGCAGCTGCCCGGGAACGTACTCGCCAGGAATCAGAAGAAAGTTTAATAAGTTCTTACTTTAGACAAAAGCCAACAGCCTAAAGGGGCCTCCAAACTCGCCGCCAGCCAGGGAGTGGCCAAGCACCAGGGATGTGCTGGTCTAACCCACAAAGCTGAGTTTGGTTTTGGTTATCAAGAGTTGGTTGCTCTTCAGTCCAAGCTGAAAATGCAAGGTTGGTAGGAACTCAACATCTTCCAAGCTCCCTGCAACCTTCCAAAAGCTCTAAATAGAACATAAAACGCCAAATATCTCCAAAAGGTTGATCCTCAGCCTTTGCTGGGGCAGAGGAGTGTTTAAGAGGTGATGTCTGGGCAGGAAGGCCAAACTGACAGAGAACAGAATCAAGCCATACAAACCACCCTCCAGGTAACTGGGAAAGATTCACCTCTTTTTTATTTTGGTTATGTTTTTGGACTGAGAGCACCAGCTAAAGGAGAAACCAACCGTCACTGTCACCATCTGCAAAGCCATCCCAATAGTGAGCAGCAAATTTAAGGTGGTTGGATTTCTCCAGTTCTACCTCCCTCCTAGAGCCAAGGTCTGGTGAAAGTACTAGAATCGGTGCTATAAAAGAAAAGGCTTAGAGCAGCTGTCACTAAAAATCATGAGTTCTGTTTTCCACTAGATTATAGGCAAGAGATAGCGATGCTGTACAATCTAGAAAAAACAGAAAAAGCTTAGAGGGCTTTGACAGATCTTAATATCTGAGGAACCCTTCCAGGAGCAGCACTGACGGGGCTGCGCTTGAAGTAAGAAACCGCAACGCATCAGCACAGTCAAAAGCTGTTCTATTTGAAAGCATTTCTATGGCAACTACCAGCCTCTCACCAAATCCCGCTGATCCTCCTGCACCAAGTCCATCTTGTGCACTAGACAAAAGATCTTGGCGTCGGGAGAGTTCTGAAGGATGGCCTCCAAGCACGACTGGTAGTAGTGCATGTCCTTCTCCAGCTCCCGGCTCTCTACATCGAAGACGTAGATGAGGACTTCTACGTTGCGGAAGATGTTGTCCCGCTGACTGGTGAAGTAGTTCTCCATAAAGGTGTCCTGTCTGAGAAGGAGCAGAGCAACAGAGCAAAGAGACTCCCATCAGAGAAGCCAGGAAAGGCGCTACCTGTAAAATACCTCCTGTGAGAAAGGCAAGGTTTGGGCTACAGACCCCATCAGAGGAGCCCAGACAAGAGCCCCCCACAGGTGCCTGTATTCCCCAGAAAGCTCCCTCAGCATTTCCAAGCCAAGTTGGATGCTCCTGAAGAGCTCAGCAGGCTCCCAGGAAGCTGAAGCTTTCCTCCTGTCACAGCAAACGGAGCTATGTCGTGTCTGGACCCGGACTGGCTTTTGGAGAGTTGCACATAAAAAAGCCACAGCAGCAGAAGTTAAAATATAACCAAAACCATCAGCGCGGCCTCTTCTTATGGGATTTAAATCTCCTCTAACTTTTGCTGAACGTGGCTCAGACCAGGCACGAGGCCAGGAGAGCTGATGAAGCTGTGTCAGCAGGACAGTGCTCTTCAAAAAGCAGCTTCCAGGAGGCACTGGGTCACTGCCAGCCACCAGTGTCCCTACTCAGCAGGCACCCCCTCTGGATCAAGCTGGAACCAGCATCAGCTCCTGTCACCCCAGGAGAAAGCCCAGGTGAAGGGCTCGGGCTTTGTGGCAGCAGAGGGAAGGGTGGGCCCACACTCTGCTCCTTTTATGTAGGGATAACACAGGAGAGGGTGCCAACCTCTTCCACCCACCTCCACACGTGCTCTGTTCCCTTCAAACACCAGCAGCACCCTCACCCCCCCTGTTTCTTACACCGTTCCCCACAGCAAACAACCCCCCACGGTTCCAAAAGCAGCAGCAGCAGCACCTACCCTCCGCAGTCCCACAGGTTTAGTACCAGGTTTCCTAGAAATCTGACATGGGAGTGCTCCACATCAACTGGAAAGAGACAACAGGAGTTTATCGGCTGTACCACCCACCCCGATCGGAGCTACCTCCAGCCAAAAACACCCCCAATTCGTAAAATCCCATAAATCAGAAGCTGAAGGCGCTACAGAAAAAGAGAGTTCCCAGAGGAATTCAAGCCTTCCTACTCCCTGCCCGGGACACTGTTCTCCTGAGAAGCCCAGCAGGTGGTTCGCCTTTAACAACGTGTTCTCTGATCTTTGTGATATTTTAAGAATGACTTTTGTTCCAGCACACTCTGCAAGGCCTTGGAAATAAAGCGGTAACACAAAGGCTGTAAACTCCATGAAGAGGCCAAGTTTACAGCAAAGAGGAAACATCCACCGACCCCTGACACTAAGTCCTCACCAGGTGCTTCCCAACCAGGAGCATCAGATCCTGACAATCCATGACCCTGTTTCAGAGGAGTCATTTATTGCTTTTTCAGAGTAGGGAAATAATAATTAAAAAAAAAAAGAGGCAGAAGACATGAATTAAGCCTCATGTATCATCTTGCCAAAACCAGTGCTCAGCTGGCCAACAATGGGAAAGCCTCCCCACCGAGGACGACCACGAGGAGGCTCTCAACACTCCAAAAATTAGCGGAGCTGCAGCAGAAGTTGCTTTCCGATCAAAATAAAAAGAGTTAAGGATAAAAGTTCAACAATAAAGCAGCAAAACTGAACCCAGTGTTGCCTTCCCTTCCACTCCAGCTTCCTGCCTGCCCTCAGCTGAACTCGGGAGGGAAGTTCCCCGCGAGATGTGGCAGCTGGGAGGACCCACAGCCACCCACCCCAGAGGGGAGGAGAGGCTGGGATCGCTGGAGGGAATGGCCTCGCCCCTGTAATGAAGGGGGTTTGAACCCTGAGAATTCACAGTTCAAAGGAGAGGAGTCTTACTTGTGGCACCCAGGCGCCGCGTGTCCCTGGCGATGTAGTTTGCAAAGATAATGGATCTCATGCTGGTCTTCCCAGACCCACTTTTACCCATCAGCAGCACCTGGGAAGAAAACAAAATCCATGAAGAATTAGCTACCACAGAACACCAAGCCCTCCACGGCTCTCTCTGGGTTAACATCTTCCTGCTGAAGCCACCCAAACACAGGATCAACACACTGGAGATGTGAATGCATCAGAAGAGGGAGGCAAAGAAGAGCACCACAGCTGGGAAAGCAGGAGACCTGTCCTCACCTCCTTTCTACGTGTGGTCACTGAATGGGGGTCAGGCCAAAAACCTTTCCACCTTGATCACGTTACTAAATTATGTTCCCCACCTTCCCAGGCACCTCTGCCCCTCCAGGCACCGCATTCCTGGTCCTTCAACCAGCTGGTGACCACGAAGGAACCACCAGGCTCCCTTTTCCCAACCCACGCTGGCAGAGGACCCCTGGAGCTCACAACCAGCACTCAGGGAAGAGCAGGAGCTGCTCCCGAAGCCTCCCCTGGCACCCCCACCACAGCTGAAGGAGTGATGGCTTTGATGACAGCAAAGGACTTCACCGAGGCAAAAGACCAGCTTTATCTCAAGCCTTTAAGACCAGGCTGGAAATAACCCCTTGCCCACTCAGCGCTGGGATTCTCCACCCAATTCTTCTCTCCCAATCTCAATCTTTTCCTTCTTGTAACACAACTCAGTTTCTCTTCCCTGACAGAAGTGAAATACGAGTTGTATTTCACGTTTCACGTGTCAGAAGATCAGCAAAAAGTTAAAAGCAGATGGGACAGCCCCATTGAAGCACGGCGGGCTGTCGTGGTGGGGGGGACACCTGACTCCAGAGTCCTCTTTGCAGATCATCCGGCCAAAGGAGAGGTAACACCTTTGGCAGCCAAAAACTAGGAGATGATTCGGGGGGGCGGGAGGGGGGAGAGAAAGGGGGAGACAGTCACGTAAGGCAAGGCTCTGCATTGTGATCTAAAAATAAAAATATTTTAAAAAGAACCCCAACAGCCACAGCCAACACAGACCCGCTCACAAACACAGCTGTTAAATGAGTTCCAGTTACAAAGTCAAATTCAGCCTTTGGCAATAGCTCTGAAAACGGATCATCAAGGATAGGTTTAACGAGAGGGCAACTGGCCCCAGTGCCTGCCCAGCCCACTCCAGTGCCTGCCCAGCCCACACCAGTGCCTGCCCAGCCCACACCAGTGCCAGGTGCTGGGAAAGGCGCTCGCTCGACTCCCAGACTCGCTCCTGGGCTGCAGGGCAACAGCTGCCAGACTCTCAGGGCAAAACAGGAGAGGTGAAACACCTCGATGATTCCATAACGAGGACTTTTCCTGAGAGAGGGAGGCTGGTCAGGTCACCCCTTACAGCCTTCCTGCAGCAAACTTCCCCCCCGAAAGCCATGCCACCTTCTCCCCTGAGCGACGCACAAAGCAAAGAGAACATCCACGTCTCTCATTTCATACCGCCTGCGGAAGAAGCACATGCAGAAACTCAACAGGGCTCCAAGGCAGCCCACGGGCAAACCCAGTTCCCAAGTTTTAGACCGTGGAGGCCTCTCAGAGGGCTCAGACACCCACACGTAGGGCCAGGCAGGAAACCCAATCCCACCACACCATGGACAGGCAGGCGTACAATCTGGACACAGCCACCTGAATGGCCTGGAATATGCTTACTGCTGGAATACCCTCCCCTGATCCTCAGTAAAAGGGTTACTCCTTCCCCGTGAGTGAAGATTCACCCTCCCAGGAGCCCCCAGTGGATCACAGGCTCCCCACAGAAGTTTCTGTCACCCAGCAGAAGGGTCTCCCCGTGGGGCAGCAGAGCAGGTTGGAGAATTCCTCTTCCCTGGTGCTGCCGGAGGTCGGCAACGAGCAGAGGGTTTTGCAACACTCAGCAGAGACACTCAGGCAGCCGTTAGCGCGGACGGCTCTGCAGCCAGCCTGTCCCGCCACCGCTGCCAGAGAACGCACTCAAACCCAACATTGATTTCTAGCACTTTAAGCAAAGGATGGATCTGCTGACTCCAAGAGCCTCACGAGGCACCTGACAGCCACAGAAGGCAGGGAGGAGCGGGTGCAGGCACACAGCGACGTTAGCAAATGCAGATGGGGAAGGAAAACCCAACTGCAGGGGATCCTCCTTTCCGTTCTTACCTTTTTCTTCATGGCTGTGCTTGGCATCACCCACCTACGGAGAGAAGACCGAATCTTCTTACATTGCTCCACTCCCGCACCCACATCCCACCCGCAGAAGCGCCCTGCAAAAGGGGAAGCGTTCCCACACCGACACCATTCCCCGTGGCCTCCACCGGCAGCTTCTGCTCCAGACGGCGGGGAGGAACTCCAGCAGAACCAACCACCCCCCCCGGGCTGCCAGAACACCCTCTGAGGCGCCCCTGGTGATCAGCGCTCCCCTAATTACCCGGCCGAAGCAGGCCTCAGCAGGGCCAGCGCTGGAAGGCGGTGGGAGACACCCTCCGGGCTCTCCCGGCACCGGGAACCAGGGCTCACGGGGCCCGCCCTCACCCCCAGCCCCTTCCCCGTCCCCTCGGGATGCTCCGGAGCCCGCACCCAGCAACGCAGAGACCTGTCCCCCACCCCGGGGCGATGCCTTCGGCCGCCCCCCCCCCCCCCCCCCCCCACCTCAGCCTCTGCGGAGCGTCCCCCCCTCCGCTGGCCCCCAGACCCCCGTGTCGGCCATTCCCGGGGTGTCCTCGCTGCCCCCGGGGTCCGCAGCAGCCGGAGCTCCGTGCCATCGGCCATTCCCCGCGTCCCCCTTCCCCGGGGCTGCCCGGGGCTCAGCCCCCCGCCCCAGACGGCTCTGCCGTCCCCACCACGGGGGCCCCCCCCCCCCCGCGCCCCCCCCCCCCCCCGCCCGTCATGTGACGCGGCGCGGGGCGAAGGGGGCGGTGGCGAAGCACCAGCCGCCATCTCGAATGTGGGCAGCGCCTCCCTGGCAGGAAGGACGCCCTGGCGGCGGAGGGCGGGGAGAGGAGGGACTATACCGCGAGCGGAGAAAGTGTCTCCCAGCGCCTCCCATATGGTCTAGCGGTTAGGATTCCTGGTTTTCACCCAGGCGGCCCGGGTTCGACTCCCGGTATGGGAAGCTTCGCTTTTTCCCTTTTTTGCGGGCCGGCACCAGCTCATTTTCCCTCCCCTCACTTTCTCTCACCGCATTTTCCTACCTTTTCGGCCAAACTTCTCCAGACGCGGCAGCCTCCTGAAGCTTCGCCGCTGCAGAGCCTGCCTCGGGTACGCCGGACGAGGGAGCACCTCGCTAAAATACACGGGTTTATTGCCTTTTTTTTTTTTTCTCTCATGCGGGCGAGACCAGCGCTGCTCGCGCCTCACGGGCTGCGTTAACTCTACCCCCCCCGGTACCGCTGTAGGGCCGTACCGCAACAGCGGGAGGCTGCTAAGGATATACGGGTGTAAAAACACACAGGGAGATACATAAACGAGCGCGTAGGGATAGCGCTATACGAAGAAAAGCCCCCTCAGCAAGGCCAGCGCCGCCGCTGAGACCCCGCGGGGAGTGGGGGGGGAGCCCCACGCGCTGTGGGGCCTCTCTGCGCGTGCGCGCGGACGCCGGCCCTATATAAGCGCGCGGGGCGGCACGCGCTGCCTCAGAGCGGCTGAGGCGGCCGGAGGCTGGTGCTTCTCCACTGTGAGGAGAAAGGCTCAGAGAGCTCTGGGGGCTCAGCCTGGAGAAGAGAAGGCGCCGGGGAGAACTTCGAGCCCCTTCCAGTCCCTCAAGGGGCTCCAGGAGAGCTGGGGAGGGACTCTGGATCAGGGAGGGGAGCCCTAGGAGGAGGGGGAAGGGTTTGACACTGAAAGAGGGAAGATGGAGCTGAGATGTGGGGAAGAACTTCTCGACTGAATTCAAGTACCCAAGCTGTTAATGCTAGAAGCTTTATTGGAAAAGCTTCCACTTCAACAATCCAAAAGGCTCTAAAGCTATAAATATTACAGCTCAGGGCCTGTACAGAAATAGCAGCACCGCCTCAGGAGACAATCCGCAACCACCGAATGAGCAATCCTACTTCTCTGGCCTTTCAGCCTCTTCCTTTTACAATTGTTACACTCTGTAAAATCACCAAAACAAATCTAGCTTCACTCTTTCCTTTATGGTTTTTGTATTAAGCGGTAAGAGGTGTTTGCTCAGAGACACAAACATGAAGATACTATATTCTGATCATTTTTGCTGTAGCACAGTCAACAAACTAGAAAGACTTGCTCAGTTCCAGAAATATCTGGACTATTTAACTGTGATGGCACACGCCTTGCCTTTACCATTGAAAAAAAAGACTGAAACAGCTTCATCCCTCATCTATTTAGTTGGCTTCATTAGTGCTGTTACTGCACTTAAGGAAATCAGGGACTCCAGGAGCTGTCATCTTTGATCAGGACCCACCTTTGTCAAAATGAGCTACTGAAACCTAACGGGTTTTGTCTAAAAGGGAGAACTTCCTCCTCCTCGGGGAAAAAAGCCTGTGATTCATTGTTCTCTGGTAAAACTTGGGCTAAGCACAGGGAAAGAAGATATTTTCTTCCAAGGGATCTGGCTGCTGCAGTGCCTGTCCTGTGGGCTCTTCTAGCAGAACCACACAATGCTGTGGGGCTGGAAGGGACCTCTGGGGATCATCCAGTCCAACCCCCTGCCAGAGCAGGGCCACCCAAAGGACCCACAGGTGGGTTTGAATGTCTACAGAGAAGGAGACTCCACCACCTCCCTGGGCAGCCTCTTCCAGGGCTCTGCCACCCTCACAGCAAAGAAGTTCCTCCTCGTGTTTAGGTGGAACTTCTTATGTTCCAGTTTGTGCCCGTTCCCTCTTGTCCTGTCCCTGGGCACCACTGAAAAAAGACTGGCCCCATCCTCCTGACACCCACCCTTTCAGTATTTATGTGCGTTGATCAGATCCCCCCTCAGCCTTCTCTTCTCCAGACTGAACAGACCCAAGTCCCTCAGCCTCTCCTCAGCAGAGAGATGCTCCAGGGTCCTCAGCATCTCTGTAGCCTCTGCTGTACCCTCTCCAGCAGTTCCCTGCCCTCCTGGAACTGGGGAGCCCAGAACTGGTCCCAGTGCTCCAGATGGGGCCTCCCCAGGGCAGAGCAGAGGGGCAGGATGACCTCCCTCCACCTGCTGCTCACACTCTTCCTGATGCCCCCCACGATGCCATGGCCTTCTTGGCCACCAGGGCCCATTGCTGGCTCATGGGCATCCTGTTGTCCCCCAAGTCTTTCTCCTCAGAGCTGCTTTCCAGCAGGTCACCCCCACCCTGTCCTGGTGCTTCGATGGATGCAGAGATGCCACCTTCACCTTCTACCCGAAGGTCCTTCCCCGCCGCTCCCGAGTGCCCGAGGGCTGCAGCTGAACCGGCAGGAGTCTGGTACCAGCTCTGGGGGAAAAAATGATCTCTGAGTACAAACACCTCCTTGCCGCAAACGGGAGGAGCGAGGCCGGCCCTGCAGCTCGGGAACCGCCACAATCTCCCCCGGTGCTTCAGCGGGAGCCGGTGCCGCCGCTCGGGGGTAAAGCACAGGCCCGCAGGGGATGAGACCTTCGTGGGCCTCCGCCGCCCCGCCCGGCTCCCTGCACGGCCCGGCCCCCCCGCCGAGCCGGGAGAGCCCTTCCCCGGGCACCCGCAGCCCCGCCGCCCCCCGAGCCGCTCCTCAGTCTCCCCGCAGGGCCCGGCGCCTCCCGCTCCCTCACCCTCGGCCGCCATGACAGCCTGACCAGCCGGAAGCAGCGTCGCAGCGCTTCCGGTGGCGTCATCAGCGCGACGCCTGTCACTTCCGCCCTGCCCTCTGAGCGGTGGCGGCGGCCGGCGCCGCTCCAGTTGCCGCCGATGGGCCGGAGCCGCCGCCTCCCCGCGGGGCCTCTGGGGCGGCCGGTGGGACCGGGACCGGGGCTGGGCCAGCTCGGTCCGTCGGAGGCCGCTGCCAGGATGCACAGCGCATGCGTGAGGCGCTCGGCCCGCCCGCGCCCCCTGGTGGCCGCTCTGCCGCCAGCCCTCACGCGTGTGCCGTGGGACGGGGCCCAACCGGGAGCCGCAGCCGGGCCCCTTCCCCCGGGCACCGGGCCCTTTCCCCGGCACACAGCCAGCCGCGGGCCCCGCCGACCCCCGGGGCCTCCCCACAGGCTCCCAGCCCTGTTCCCGGTGACCGCTTGGTGGTGTCAGCGGCAGATTAATTTCTGGCAGGTGCTAAAGAAACCGGCTCCAGGCTCTCCCTCTGTTACAGAAAAGGGAATTTTTCAGCATCTTCTGGTGCAGGAAGGGTTCGGGGGGGTGGCAACCAGATCTCCTCTTCTTTCCAAATCCGCTGCAGTGGAAGGTGCTGCTCTGGCCGTGGCTGCTGGGTCACCACAGCACCCTGCGCAGCGCTGAGATGGGGCACGGAGGGGAAAATTCAGCCTGAGGAATAGCCCGAGAAAAGCAAAGAATCGGGAAAAGTGGAAGAGGGGGCTGTGGGGACACTGTGGGGAACACCAGCCGGGGCTGGAAGGAACAGCCTGGCCACAGGCACGGCCTGGGGGATGGAGAAATGTCTTACTCCAGCCCATAGGGGACAAGGTGCTTTTAATTACCACCTTTAATTAGCAAAAGCCATGTAAAAGCAGAAGGGAATAGAGGTGTGTGTAGCACTGCACGCTGTGGAGCATACGCAAAGTTAAAAAACAGCCCACAAATAACAATAAAAAGCCCTGAGAATGAAGGAAACTGGGCTTCAGAAAGAGCAACGTGGCTCTGGGGAAGGTGGGGTGTCTCCAGGGAAGGTGGGGTGGCTCTGGGGAAGGTGGGGTGGCTCCATCTGTCACAGCCACACTTTGGGAATGTGCTCTGCCGACGCGACAGCAGCCTCAGCAGAAAATTCCACTGGTTGGAAGGCAGAGGTCCCTCCATCCCAGGCATTGCAAAGCGCTCCGTGTGTGTGATACCCACTCACTCACCCAGGCGAGGACTGAGGGGTTTGTTACCCAGGGGATGGCGAGTAAACGGTCAAAAATGTGCAGCGACAGCGTTCCCGTCCTGGGGGAAACAGCAGCAGCCATCGGTCCTGGGGAGGAAGCCAGCTGATCCGAGGAGAGGATTGTCCAAGTCAGGGGAAAAGCAGAGGCAGCAGCTCCACAGCAAGGAACGCGCTTGGACACTGAAAACCCTGCGCTGTGAGAAGGAGCTGGCCAGAGCTGGACTCAGGGCTGTAACAGCAGGGTATCAAAAGTGGCATTTAGCGATTTTTAAATGAAAACAACCATCTTTCAGTAAGGCACCGGGTGTTGCAGGGCAGTCTGTGTCCAATTACTCTGCTGCGAGCGCTGCAGGCTGGGGTGTTCCTGTCTGCTACCACACGGTTCCTCAGTCTGCTGTCACACAGCTGGCTTTGTAGCTGGAGAAGCAGTAACTCATGAGAGCCAAATGCAGAGCAACAGCCACGCAACACCTCACTTGTGACAGCCCTTTGCCCCCAGAGGACAAATAACACCAGAACCTGCCTTCAAGGGAACCTCCGGACCGACTTACAGCCTGATGTTATTCATATCAGAGGCAGGAACTGCCTGGAGGGACCAGACCAGCAGAAGAGGAAGGCGCTTTGGGGAGAGGAGCACTGGGGATGTCCCCAGGACGAATAACAGCACCCCCTCCTCGCCACGAGAAATGGGGTTTCTCTGGGTTGGAGAGACAGAGGCAGCTGGGAGTCAGAGCCATTTCATTTTGTTGCTTCGCTCAGTTTACCTTTTTGTGCTGAACTTGCAAATATTGTCTCTTGTCCTTTTCACACACACAGTCTGATAACAAAACACAACAGTGAAAGCAAAGCCAAGCCAGGAGCAACTACCAATATCCACGTGGCTGGAACGGCTTATTTATTGCCCTGTTCCAGCCTAAGGAGAGAGAAATAACAGAGGGTTATGACTCGGGTAACTCAGGGCTGTCACTCAGGTGGGGACACCTCCCTCTGGAGGGGTTTCTGGTGATATCAAGGGGCCCCTCGTGGCATTTCTGCTCCTTTATTTTACCCAGTTCATTAGGAATTACTCAGCAAAACCTGCTCACTCATCCTCTCTCACGCTCTCTGTCCCCATTTGTTACCGTTGAATCCATCTCTATGGAGCAAACAGAAGTTTTGCATTAATTTAAATGAACTACTGTAACATTTAAGCATCTTTTTTTTTGCCACCTTCTTTTTCTTTTTTTGTTTTCCTTAAAGGAAACCCCTTGGTGCCCCCCTTGCTGTAACGCGCCGCAGCCAAAACTTTCTGGA